AGCCCGGTAAGCCGGAAAGGAGCCGCTCCTGCTCGCCAGCCCCAGGGCCGCGCCGGGTGCCAGAGGGCCGAGGCGGCCTCTGACGGTGAGGGAGACAGGCCAGGCGGTGCAGGGAGGCTCCGGCGCGGCGCAGAGGGCGGCCGGGGGGAGCGTGGCTGGGCAACCAGGAGGCGTGGGGACTGGCTTGGCACCGCAGTTCAGCTCAGTCAGCAGCAGCAGCAACAGCGGAGCAGCCCAGCGGCAGTGCCAGCAGCGGCCCAGACCCGGCTCGGCCCAGCCACCCACACAGCTGAGCCAGTCGGGGGTGCGCGCGATGGCGCTGTGGCGGCAGGAGCAGGCACTGTCGGAGAAGGGAGCCCTGGAGGCAGAGGAGCCGGTGGAGGAGGGCAGTGGCCAGATAGAGAAGCGGTGTCTCGGTTCCTAAGACCATCGGAAATATGTGTTTTCCGATGGTCTTAGGTGACCCCTGTGAAAGCGCCGTTCGACCCCCAAAAGGGTCACAACCCACAGGTTGAGAACTGCTGCATTAGAGATACTGGCAAGAAATATTAGACAAGATACAGAAATTAAAGGTTTGGAGATTAAAAACCAGAAATATAAACTACAGGCCTTTGCGGATGACTTGGTTTTTATTTTAGAGGAGCCATTGGAAACAGCCGATAAACTCTTGCAGAAAATTGAGAAATTTGGAGAAGTGGCTGGACTGAAAATAAATAGGGAAAAGACTAAAGTATTAACAAAAAACCTAACAGATAAACAGAAAATTCAACTTGCTAAAATGACAAACCTTCAAATAGTCAAAAAAGTCAAATATTTGGGCATTTATCTAACTGCAAAATATACCACATTAAAAGAAGATAACTATGAGAGATTAATGAAACAAATAAAAATAAACCTGGAAAGGTGGGCAAATCTTCAATTATCACTCCTAGGAAGAATAGCGACAGTTAAGATGAACATTTTACCAAAGTTAATGTTTCTGTTCCAAACAGTTCCTGTTAAACTTACTAAGAATTTTTTTGAGGATTTAAATGCAATGATTCTACGATTTATATGGCAAAGAAAGAAAGCTAGAATCAAATGTAAATTGTTATAAGAATTTAAGGACAGAGGGGGCTTTGGACTTCCAGACTGGAGACTTTATTATCAAGCAGCTATTCTGCTTTGGCTTAAAGAATGGATTGTATTGAGAAATAAAAGATTGCTTTATTTAGAGCAGTGGTTCTCAATCTTTTTAATGCCGCGACCCCCAAACGGTCGTAAGTCGAGGACTACTCAACTGGTGCAGCACCGTTTGCAGAATGGACTTTTGGCAGGCTCAGCAGGGCAGAGACAGCCTGGACAATTCCAATTGGCTTTTGAAAGCCAACAGAATTAGACTCTATTCAAGAGAGTCTATTCTATTGGCTTTCAAAAGGCAATAGAATAAAAAGGAGTAGCACAGCTAAGGAAAAGGGGGAAAAAATGGCGGACTGCATTGTTTGGCGACCCCCGTGAAATGGTCGTTTGACCCCAAATGGGGTCCCGACCCACAGGTTGAGAACCACTGATTTAGAGGAACATGATCTTCAACTAGGTTGGCATGCTTTTATATGGTATGAGAAAACTAAAGCACATAAATCATGCAATAAGAAACGTACTACTTTCAGAATGGGAGAAAATCAAACATAAAATTTATATGAAAATACCTGAGTGGCTTTCAACAATGGAAGCATTTGCTTATCCAAACCTGATTAACTATGATAAACTGGTTAGTTATAAAGATATTTTGGACAAAGAGGGAAAACTTAAGGACAGGCAAACTCTTCAACGACAAGGTATTGACTTGACATGGTGGTCCTATTTGCAAATTCAAACAAGATATGAAAAAGATATAAAATCAACAGGATTTTATAAAGAATAGACTCCATTAGATAAAATGTTGTTAAAAACAGATGAGAATTTGATTAAGAAACTCTATAAATTTCTTTTAAACTGGAAGATGGAAGAAGAACAAGTGAAAGAAACAATGATAGTATGGGCAAAGAATTTTGGATATTCTATAGATTTGGAAGATTGGCAAAAACTTTGGGATAAAAATATTAAGTTTACAAAAGCGGTAGCATATAAAGAAAACTTATACAAGATGTTTTACAGATGGCATATGACACCAGTTCGCTTAGCGAAATTGTTTAAAAATGTTTCAGATACTTGCTGGAAATGTAAACAACAGCCAGGCACTTATTACCATGCCTGGTGAATGCTAAGAAATACTGGTCTAAGATTCATAGATGGTTGGAAAAGATGATGAAAATACAGATAGAATTTAAACCGGAATTGTTTTTGTTAGGAATATTAAGACCTAATTATGATAAAGAGAATGATTATTTGATACTGCATGTTTTAACAGCCGCAAGGATAGTATTTGGCCAATTTTGGAAAAAAAGAGAATCTACCATCTGACCAGGCTATAATTACTAAAATCTTAGAGTGTGCAGAAATGGATAGATTAACATTGGAGATGAAAGAAAAAAATGACTGAGTTTATTTTATAACTTGGGAAAAAATTTATCAATGGTTAGAGACACGTTAGAATCTGAAAAGGACTTAATATTTTAGAATAATGATTGATTTTTAACCGAGTTATAATTAATAGGTTGTTAACATCTTTATTTTTAGTGATTTAGTGATTTTTATCCGTTAATGTTGTTAGTTATGACTTCTTGAGATTTTATTATTCATATATAATTTAAATAGATGAATTTGTTTACTGTTAGTAATATGGCTATAGTTAAGCTTATTTTAAAAATGGTAGAGTATGATATTTACCCATTATTATGATCCAGACAGTAGCTTGTTTGTTAAAATATGTGATTGTACCTATCCTTATTTTATCCTAAATCCCCTATTCCCTTTCCCCCATCTCCTTCCCTTACCATACCCGTATTGTTCCTATTTTTTCCTTATGCTTATAAACTCAATAAAATATTGTTAAAAAAAAGGAATGCAATAGGTTTGTGTGGCATGATCTGTTTTTGATAAACCCATGTTGGCTTTTAGTAATGACTTTGTTTGCCTCTAGGTCAGACATGTCAAACACAAGGCCCGGGGGCCAGATGTTGCCCGCAAAGTGGTTTCATGTGGCGCGCGAAGCCATCCTGGAAACAGTGAGGGAACGGCCCCCACTGCCTTGGCCCCAGCCCAGGGAGCCAATGTACAATTTTGTGGTAGCCATCTATGCTGAAATGCATTCAGTCTTAGCTCAAGGCCATCTAGAAACAGCGAGGAACCAGCCCCTGCCGTGTCGGCCCCGCCCCCTGGGTGCATGCTGGGTAAGTGTCATCCTTTGTGAGGAATGAAGAAATGGACCATGCCTTGGCACTTGCCCTGGTCCCACCCCCTTCTGCCAGAGACCCTCAGATCTGTCCCACTCCTGCCCAGGCCCCCACAGGCACCCTTGACGCGAACGATGTAAAGCTGGCCATCCCCACCCAGTAAGCCACACCCACTCCATTCACGCCCACCCAGTAGGCCGCACCAACCCTGGCCGCACCCACCCGGCCCCCCCAAGGGCAACCACAATGTTGATGCGGTTCTCAATGAAATTGAGTTTGACACCCCTGCTCTAGGTGTTCGCTGATTCGTTGTTTGATTATCTTTTCCAGAATCTTCCCAGGTATTGAGGTCAGGCTGATAGGTCTGTAATTTCCTGGGTCCATTTTTTTTCCTTTTTTGAAGATGGGAACTACATCAGCTCTTCTTTTCCAGTCCTCCGATAGTTCCCCAGTGCTCCAGGATCTTTGAAAAATATAGTTCAATGGTTCTGAGATCACATCTGCCAGTTCCTTGAGAACCCTGGGGTGTAATCCATCTGGTCCTGGCAATTTGAATTCGTCTAGGCTGGACAGGTGCTCACTTACTGTTTTCTTGCCTATCTTTGCGTTTCTATTCTGTTTTTTATGGCACTATTTTTGGTAGGTTGGTCTGTTTTTTCCCTTTGTGTAAAGACAGATGCAAAAAACGAGTTAAATAGTTCTGCTTTCTCCCTGTTGCTTGTCACCTTCTTGCCACTTTCCCCCATTAATGGACCAATCATTTCCTTCACTTTCTTCTTGTTTTTTACATGTTAAAATAAGCTTTTTTTGTTATTTTTGACTTTGGTCGCAAGCCTTAGTTCATTTTGAGCCTTAGCTTTCCTCATTTCATCTTTGCAGGCTCGGGCTATTTTTTGATATTCTGACTTAGTTATGTGCCCCCCTTTCCACTTTCTATACTTGTCCTTTTTATCTTTCAATTTATCAGAGAGTTCCTTATGCAATCATGCTGGTTTCTTTTGAGAGCTGTTATTTTTCCTCTTTGTTGGTATTGTGCTGGACTGGGCTTTTATTATCTCACTTTTCAAAATTTCCCAAGTTTTTTGAGTTGTTTTCCCCTTGAAGATTCTCATCCATGGAATCCTTCCCAAGCCCTCTCTAAGTTTATTGAAATTAGCTCTCTTAAAGTCCAAGACTCTAGTTTGACTGTGTTCTATTGCTTGTGCTTGCATAATGTTGAATTCCAATATTGCATGATCACTTCCTCCCAAGGTTCCTGTGGCTTCAACACCTTCTATAATTTCATCTCTGTTAGTGAGAATTAGATCCAAACTGGCTAATCCCCTAGTTCCCTTCTCTACTTTTTGGGAGACAAAATTGTCTGCTAGGTTTGCAAGGAATCTGTTTGATCTTCCGCTTGGTGCAGAGTTTGTCTCCCAGTTGATGTCAGGGTAGTTAAAGTCCCCCATTACTATTGTGATGTGCTTCCTACATACCTTAGCTTAGTTAGCTGACTAGCAAAAAGTTCATCTATTTCCTGTTTGGTTGGGTGGCCTGTAGTATACACCTATGGTAATGTCATTTTTCCCCCCTTTTATATTGACCCAAATGCATTCAAGGTCAATCAATTTCAAGAAAGTGCTGTCATACCTTCCTGTCCTGAGATACAGCATATTCAATTGTCTCATCTCCATCTTCAGACTGATAAACCAGGTCGAATTTCCCTGGCTCTTTTGCTACTAAAAAAAGACCACAACAAAATGTAAATTATATCAGGATGTTTCCAATATAATTGGAAATTGCAGAACTTGTCTGCGGATGGTGTCAATGAATGGATTCCACTGATGGAAGAGATTCCACCAGCAAGACAGAGAAGGAACTTGCCCTCCCCAGCAGGGCCTCAACCTCTGCTCCTGAGAACTTCCCTCTGGAGCAATTTAGGGCTGTGAGCTGCAAAAGAAAAGGAAATTCCGCTCGTCCAAGATGAGATTTTTTCCAACAGTGGTTTAATTTTATCTTTAAGCCAGACTAATTTTGCAAAACCCCATTATAAACGGTGATAATCTGTGATCCCTCTTCACAAGAGCAACACTTTAAGATGTTGCATAATACTTACCTGATGAAAAAGAAAGGATTTCAAGTTCTAGCTGCTTATTAACAGGATTCCAGCTGACAAGGTTTCCTTCCTTAAAATATGGGAAAGAATTAAATAATGGCATTTGTAAGGGCATTCAATAACATGGAGGTATTTTATCATATCATAAAATGTTATATTAGCATAATTAGCATAAAAACAAACCCCCAATTGGTACTGCAACATTAAGAACAATAGGGATTTTTATTATATGGGGCAGCTGTTTAAATAAGAGCAATTCATCCTCTCTGCGAAGTACAGCTAGTTCTCAATTTATGACCACAATTGAGCCCCAAGCCTGTTGCTAAATGAGTTAAGTGAGTTTTGCCCCATTTTTCGACCTTTCTTGCCAAAGTTGTAAAGTGAATCACTGCACTTAGTAAAGTTAGTAACAAAGTTGTTAAGTGAATCTGATTTTGCTTATCAGAAGGGCGCAAAAGGTGATCACGTGACCTACGAGACACTGTGACCGTCATAGATATGAATCAGTTGCCAAGCGTCCCAATTTTGATCATGTGACCAAGAGAATGCTGCGACGGTCATAAGAATGAAAAAATGGTCATAAGTCACTTTTTTCAGTGTCATTGTAACTTTGAATGGTCACTAAACAAACTGTTTTTAAATTGAGGACTACCTGCATTGGGTAGTTTGATGTCCAAGGATAAGGTATTTCCAGTAAAATGCATTACTTCTTTTCTTCATGATGCCTGGCATTTCATATAAAGCTAACAATGAGAACTTGACTAGTGAACAACTCCGCTAGTAATTCTGAAATTCCTGATCCGGTTTCGGCGGCCGATTTCGCTTTGTCCGGTGACCCTAAAGCAGTGTTTCTCAACCTTGACAATTTTAAGGCATGTGGACTTCAACTCCCAGAATTCCACAGCCAGCAATGCTGGCTGTGGAATTCTGGAAGTTGAAGTCCACATGCCTTAAAATTGTCAAGGTTGAGAAACACTGCCCTAAAGGGTCAGAAAGTTGCCCTGGAGGGGCAACGAAGAAGGAGGGATACTTCAGGAGCCCAGACCAGACGGCGGTTGGTCTGAGCGGACTGAAGAAACCCGCTGAAAGGACGGAGGAAAGGCTACCAGGTGAGCCCAGGCAGCCCAAGTCGTCGCCTGCCGGAAGGAAAGCGAGGAGCCACGGCGCTCCGCCAAACAGCTGACTGTCAACAGCGTGCTGAAGCTGCCAGAAAAGACTAACAAACAAAGCCTATATTTGGTTTTACACATCATAACAGTGGCAAGAATAATATTTGCGCAATATTGGAAAAATGAAGGAATACCACCCGATGAAGAAATAATTTAAAAAAATACTAGAATGCGCAGAGATGGACAGATTATGAGACTGAAAGAAAAAAGAAGAAACAGAATATTATCAAACTTGGGACTTACTTTACCAATGGTTAGAGGAAAGAATAAAGGATTAGGATTTAAATATGTAATTAGCGTATTTAAACTCAGACAGCACATTGGTTGAAAAATTATTATTGTATGTATGGAAAAAAATTAATAAAATCTTATTTAAAAAATTCTGAAATTCCTTCTACTATATTTCCAAAGAGAAAAGAAGACACCACATTCATGGGATTCTCAACAATTAGCCCAACCTTCAGAATTACAGATTGTGCTGTTTGAAAGTTGAAAGGACATCTATAAAGGTAGATTTTCCTAGTTAAAAATTGATTTTTTTTTTCCTATACAAAATTATATTCCTGTGCTAGCCGGAGGTCCAGGCAGAAGAAGAACATCGTGGCTTCAAAACCTAAGGGACTGGTTTGGACAAAATTCAGCAGCACTTTTTCATGCGGCTGCTGATAAAAACAGGATCGCCAACATGATCGCCAATGTCCGATAACAGATATGGCACAAGAAGAAGAAGAGCGGGAGGAAGTATGCAAATATATGTAAAAATCAAGGAAGCAGTGAGGATCCAGGGTACATTTTGCCACTGAAGTTTAGTCTGGAGCAGAAGCCAAGTAACATGCCATAAACATAGCCGGCAAAGGGTAATGCAAAAAGGCTCATATAATAGAATAATAAAGGGATGTAGATCAGGTTGATAGTAAGACTAAGGCATCAGCCTCAAGGTCTAGATTAGATTAGAGTCTAGATTAGAGTTTATTGTTTATGCAGTATGTCTAGATGTGTGCCTTTGAATCAGCGTGAACCGCCTGGGAACTCACTGGACAAGTCCTGGCAGTTTTCTTGGCAAGATTTCAGAAGTGGTTTGGCCTTGCCTCTTTTCTAGGCTGAGAAAAAGTTCTGGCCCAAAGTCATCCAGTTGGCTTTGTGCCTACGGGCTAGAACTCACACTCTCCCAGTTTCTAGCCTAATGCCTTAACCTACTGCACCAACTTGGCTTTTTGTTGATACAGAGTTGGGGGCTTCTCTTAGCTGGGCAAATGTTGTTACCGTATATGCCGGCGTATTAGGTGACCCAGCGTATAAGACGACCCCTGTCTTTATCGCCGGGTCGTCTTCCTAGAACGTTGTCTTATATGCCGGAAACTACCAGTATTTCCGGTGTATAAGACGACTCAGCGTGTAAGACGACCCCCGTCTTTGGTGCCGAGTTTAGCGCTTCCGGAAGTCGTCTTAAACGCCGGCATATACGGTAATTATTCATTTCTGACCATGTGGTTTTTTTTCTATATAATCTTTTACAAATCTGTCTTTAGTGCTTTTGGACTGGTTGTCTGAGAGCCCAGAATTCACTGTTCTGTATTTCAGTAAGGAAACTTCTGATCTCAATTGCTTTAGTTTGTCTTTTAATGGATTGGGTTTTTTTCCATTACACAAATTGAGTAAGAAAGATAAAGTCCCAAACAACAACAAAAAAATAGCATAATTCACATAAGACTCTATGCTCCTAAAGACTTTTGAGGTTTAATGTATAATCTCAAGAATCCTTTCAATCCTCTGTAAATTAGACTAGCGCTATTATCAAAGAAGACAAGATCAAAGAATTAGATTCAAATTGGACAATCCCCAATTGATATCTCACTTGTTTAATTCAATATTAAAATAAACACTGCCAGTAAAGCAAAAAAAAAAAAAAGGTAGTGCCTTTTCGTAAGAAAAATTTTATTAAAAGGCATAGGTTTTTAGAAGATGTTGCTCACTTCATCAGATGTATAGGATTTAAACTGGGGTAGAGGAAATGGGTGGGGTGGGGTGAAGGCAGAATGATTATACAGATGCAGGTAAGACGTGAAACAGATTCTAAGAGGAAACCTGAATTAGTAGCTTGTAATTTCAGCTCATGAAAGCTGAGGCCTTTTAATAAAGCATGTTATTCAGAAATGGTGCTGCTTCTGATTTTTTGCTACCACACACTAACATGTCTGTCTTACAAAACAAAGCAGCAATACTTAATAAATAGAAAAGCAGCATCAAATTACGTTGAAAAGTTGATGGCAATACCTTGTAATCGGATACTTCAGGTGTATAATTTTCGGTTAATTCCAAAAGCTGTTAAAAGAAAAACCAAATTCTTAAGCTCCAGATACATGTGTAGCCTCCACAAATTGTATCATCCACCTAAAGTTAGCGTAGAAACTAGAAATCAGTAATAAAAGTTTTATTGATTAAAAAAAACCTTATAAAATAAAAAAATCTGGAGCCAATTACTTCTGATAAATTCAATGCACAATAATATTAATAATTATTTACAGTGTACCCCATCTCAAAAGCTCTGCTAATCAGTAGGTTAATAACCCTTCAGGAGAGATAGAAGAACCTATAGCACTCCAAAAATCATAGAATCCATAATCCCAAGCAGGCTGGGCAATTAGTGCCAGTGATAAATGATGCTCTCTCCGAGTTGTTATGTACATGTCACTGTAGTAAGGCAAGTAAAACTTCCCAGGAAAACACATATGGGAGAAAAAGGTATATAAATCTTTCAGAGAAGGGACGAGCCTGTGAACCAATTAATTCTTTGATGGGGAGAGAGGAGAATTTCACCTGATACAGATACTGGCAGAAAAAGTTCTAAAGCAAGTCTCCAGTCAACCTCAACTCCCGTTGACTTCATGGACACATCCATGTTGTTTATCTAAACAAACAATAACACAGAGATGGTTTGCCACTGGCTTCTTCCAAGATGGTTTTGGGGTTTGTTTTGCTGACTTCCCAATCCAAGATATAGTAATGAGATTTCCTGGTAACTTCTCATCTAAGAAATAACCAGGTCAAATCTTGCTTAACTTCTCAAGATCATCCAAAGTAGTTAGGTGGTTAAATGGCTTCTGCATTAACATGGATCCTAATTCTCAAGTGACGCTCGTTTTTAATGAGAATATTCTACCCTTTTTCACACAGGAGAACACATTTTCCCAAAGGTGCTTTTTTCACGAGGCAACTGGACTTCCTTGTTTTTCTTTGAAGATGTTTCGCTTCTCATCCAAGAAGCTTCTTCAGCTCAGAGCTGAAGAAGCTTCTTGGATGAGAAGTGAAACATCTTCAAAGAAAAACAAGAAAATCCAGTTGCCTCGTGAAAAAAGCACCTTTGGGATAACTATGACCTGGATGCCTGAGAATCTTCATAGACATGAGAACACATTTCTCTTCTAAAAAGAAGCTTCCACCGTCATACAGAGGAGCCACTTTTTAAATCCAATTTTGGATCTGCAGAGAAAACACACCAGGGACACCTATAATGCTAAGCCATGATGAGGCTTGTTCGTATCACTTAATTTTGTAAACCGCTGCTTGTTATTTAGTGCCTTGTGAAAACCAACCAATTGCGGTGTTGGGAGTTTAATCAATCATGTTTCAACAAACTTACCTCACAAAACAGAATGTGCTACTCCCCCTAAGCCTCAGAGTTTGCATTTGCATTTCATCCCCTGCTTTGTATTATACAGCTGAAAGAATAATACCTTAAAGGCAATTTTTTGGCCTACTTGTGGAGGAGCAGCTAAGAGAGGCAGTGTGCTATAATCCTTTTTCGGAGCTTCCACGGGATTCTACAAAACAATCATTAAAAATATCATCAGTACAGTACTAAGATATTGCAATGCAAAGCTGCCCAATTAAGGTGTACTTTATAACACATTAGCTCCCTTGACAGTGATGGCACTACCCACTCACTGGAGCATTTAATCTATGAAAAATTAAGCCAGACAAAGATAACAAGCATGGTTATCTATTTCAATTAAAACCTTTCTAGCCTTGTGGACTTCCACACAGGCCACACTTGTTCAGAAAGCTGGAGGGGGAAATAGATCTGCCTGTCTACTCTTCCTTCAATCTTCTGAGGCAGTAATTCCCCAGTGTGTGTGGTCTACCAAAGCTATTTCATGATCGTTGCCTCAACTTCACCACTCCATGTGCACACAGCCAGCTGCCAAACCACTTACTGCTCAGTGCCCCCTCAGGAAAGTTTTTGGCACAGAAAAATTTACAAGGCTCCTTAAAATGGAGGGGTGGGAAGATAATCCCCATACACGGAACTATACCAGGGGTTCTCAACCTGTGGTCTGTGGGTGTCTGCAATGTTGTAACAGGGATCCACAAAGGCTTGAAGAAATGTTATGATTTAAATCTTGAGTTACATCTTGGTGGTCCAGGGACACAAAAGATATTTAAAGGGGGTCCAGGGTGAAGAAAAGATTGAGAACCCTTGAACTATAATATTCATATATTTGCTGATAAATGTAAATACTTATGCTCTTAAAAATGGTAGTATATGAGGTATGGAGGGCTTGTTTCATTGGTTAGTCTCTGCATAGTCCTATTGTTTATTTAGTGGTCCATGATTGGAGGAAAAAAAAATCTGAGAAATATTGATCTGAAGTACTGAAACTACCAGTGATCCTATATTGGATTTAAAAAAAACAAAAAACTCCATCTATACCCTTATTTCAACTTTTTCATAAAAATATTCTTTCTTGCAGTGTGGAGTAGATTTGAAGTAGATCCAGGGGATCTCTGGTGGGTGGACTCCCCAATGGCGGCTCCAGGCTGGCTGGCCTTAGGCCAGTGATGGCAAACTTTTAGAGACCACGTGTGCTGGGGCAATGATGCGTGCCCACAGAGAGGGCTCCACGTGCCGCCTCTAGCACACGTGCCCTAGGTTCGCCACCACTGGCATATGAGCACATGCAACTGGACTACTGCACAAAATAGTTGGAATGGCTACCTTACCAGCATTTACTACACAAAGATGCAACATAAAGGGAAGAAAAGATAACAGGAAAACAACGCAGCACAGAAACATTCAGTCAGTTGTATTAAATGCCAAATCAAACTTCAGAATAAAACTCTAGCAGCCTCATACCATGCTTTTCAGTTTCTAGACAATGTCAGAAATAGAACATTCAACTGATACTCAATTTCTGCAGGAAAAAATTAAGAAACCAGACTTCCATTATTTGATGATAATGACAGGTATGTAATGGCTTCAATTTTTCTAAGAATGCTGATCCATGGAATCATAGACTAGATGTTACTGCTATACCCACCTGAATAATAACAGAGGCATTTGTTGCTGCTTCGTTTAACTGTTTTTGTTTCTGGTTTTCGCTACTGTAATTATAGAAAAAATGAACACGTTCTCCCCTCCCCCTATCCCTGGTCATCCCACGGCATCCGCGAACTCTAGGTCCCCTCCACGAGGGGGTTTCCCCTCTTCCACGCCCCCTTCTATTTTCCTTCAGGTTTGAAGCTAGTCCATAAGAGACATCTGAGAGTTGTTTGTCATTCCCTCTGACAGATAGATTGTCTATGGCATTCTGTTTCTTTAAAGCATCAGTCTCTGATTCAGAGCTATCATCAGATTCCGATGAGGAGCTTTTAGGTTCAGTCTTTGAAGAATGGCCTGTCACCGTTTCTTGCTTCTGATATGGTAGCTTATTTTTCAGGTTGCTGCTCTGCTGCTCTTCCTCTGAACTGGAATCTGAATCTGAACTAGAGGACTGGTTCTTGGCTTTTTTAGTTTCTCCTGTTTTAAGAGAAATTTTGTCTTTATATTTCCCAGTGGAAAGAGATTTTAAAGAAGCCAACTGTGGTTTGTTTATGTGCTGCGATGTCCCTTTAGATGCATGTGTGTTGGTCTGTTTTGTGCCTGGTGTACTATGGTTGCTATCAGATGATGATGTAGAGGATTCACTAGAGGAACTGCCTTTCTTTGGGTTGGATTGTGCTGTTGTGTTTCCCTTTGTGCTTTTTTGGCTGAAACTTTTCTCAGTCTTTTGGGAGGTGCTCTTTGATGGACATGTACTTGCTTTCTTCTTTTTGTTTTTCTTTGCATCCTGCTCTTTCCCCTGCTCAATTTTTTTCCTAAGTTTCTTGGAATGAGAATTATCATCCTCACTCTCAGTGTCCATCATATGACTCCTTTCAGGTGCCGCTTTTTTCTTTTTCCCCAATGTCACAGAATCTTGAATATTTGTAGATTTTTCTTCTTTCTGCTCAAAATTCCATTTACTCTTCTTTCTTTTGTTGGGGTCCTCATCTTCACTTTCAGAGTCCTTTGCCTCCAATTTCCTCTGCCGCTTTCTTTGGCTTTTTGACAAGCTGCTGGAACCATTGGTGACGGTGTCGTAACTGTTCAGTCCAACAATCTCCTCCAATCTGACTCTATCAAATCCACAAACAAAGAAAATGTTAATATTGCAGCACATTTTATATAGCATCATGCTAAAAAATGAAACCCATCCAGCTGGCCTTTAATCCAACAAAGATACAGGTTAGGAATACTGATCTCAATACAATATTCTCTTTTTAGTCTTTATGCCTTAAGAGTAAAAGTTTTATATGCGTATATTTGAAAGAGTGGGATCATATCACATGGAACCATGATTTATTGAATCATAGTTTAAGCATGCTGCATTTGTTTCAGTTCATATATCACATTAAAGCAAAAAAAATAATCATAAGGTTACATAATGTGTGAAGCCTTCTCTATATTTAGGACCACAGCCTGAAAGAACAAATAATTTCCACCAGGTCATGTTTTCTCAAAATGAGCACTATCATCACCCAATAATATGATAAATGAATTTGTATGACAGCCTCCGTAAATAAAATGAATATCATTAAGGCCAAGTTTGGGCAAGTCAGTGCATTGCTTACTTGTAATAATTACTGTTGCGGCCAAAACCTGGCTCACCAAAAGCAACCAAAATTCTTTGAATATACCACATAATTTTATTAGCATGCAAACAACAGTAGATATTGGGCTCCCAGTAACACTTCTGCAGTTGGCTGAATAGCCAGGAGCTTACATACCTTTGGCCTATTTCATTGTGAAGACAAGGGAAAAGGACAGCACACCCTTGGAATGTTTTAGATAAAGACATTCATGTGACATATTATTTATTCATTCTTACTAGGTCAGCATGGCACCCACATTATCTCTGACCAACGATTCCTCCCTCTGATGCCACTCAGGGTCAAGGTTGCTGTGAATGTTTTCTTACAAGAGTACTTTAAATAGTTCACATTTAGGGTTGGGGGGCATCCTATAGCTTTGGCAATGAGTAGAGCTTACATGTGGGGGTGCTTTTTACACATTACATTTTAATGTAGTCATCACAGCGTTCTCAAATTTTATGAGCTTGCACAAGCAAAACAGACCAAACCTCAAGAGTGATAAAGCCTTGCTAATATAAACCTGGTAAAGTTTAACTTCAAAGGTTTGTGAGTACCTGTTCTAGATGATAAATAATTTTAAGGATGCTTATTTCCACCTTAAATGTACTAACTTTAACATGCACAGAGTTCACAGAGTTATATAATTATGATGCACTTAGCTTTCACTAGCCTTCTCCTTCCAACTACTTAGCATCATAAATCCCACTCACTGGATGTGAATCTAATGGAAGATACAATTCAAAGTACTTCGAAGGTAGCTTCTATCTAAATCAGAACAGGATCAAGCTAACATTCAAAAAGTAAATTTATTTAAGTAAATTTGCCAACACGCAAACAAAATAACCAAATCTCTGGCCATGTCAAAGCAGGCAGCCACTCGGGAGAGCCCGTTTCCCCCACCACGGTAGCCCAGGCCTGTGTGTAGTATCCAAGGAGTCCCCGGCCCTTTTTCCTTTTGCAAGGCTCCCACCGAAGAGAATCGTTGTCCCGCACCAGTCGCGCGCTCTCGGTGGGCGGCAGGAGCGCCCCATCCAGGAAGAGGTTGAGCCTAGCGTGGCGACTAAAGCCGAACTTCTCCCGAATGAGGCTGATCAGGTCAGTGATGAGGCGCACTTGATTGGGCTCCACCAACAGCCAACACAGTCCGCAGGCCGGAGTCATCGGCGGCGGGTAATCGAAGAGCAGGCGGAGACGCACCGGAGCCTCGCAGCCGCTGCCCATGGCCGCCGCCATGTTTCCGAGAGCCAACAGCTACGGCGTGCCACGCGGGACAAAGACAATGAAAGTGCGAGAGCGAGAGAGGGCGCGGCTGGCCGCGAACAGCTCGGAAAGGCTCCGGAAGAGAAAAAGCGCGAGAACCTGAGAATGCTTTTCCAGTACGGCGATTTGTTGCTTTGCCCGTTTTTTTAAAAAAAAACAAAAAATGTCCATTTTTTTTTAATTGAATGTTTTTAAATTAAAACAATCATAACAAAAAATCAAATTAGGCTGGAGGTTTTCAGGCTCTCTGAATATGTTGGAATTCTGGGGAAGAGGAAAAACCAAATTCGACTTCCTTATTCACTCTGAATAGTTTAATATCTCTCGGAACTCTCCGAGCAAAGAGACTGCACCGCTGATAAAAGCACGGTAATACGTTTAAAAAAATACGTACGGATGAATGTGTCATCTGCTAAAGAAACATACTAGTTTTCTTTATCATAAAGGTATGCAAATAAAATGTAAAAATAGGAAATTGCAGGAGATTAAACAAGTTTGTCTACTCTACAAAACTGTAAAAGATTTGAAAGTCGGCAATACTGTTAAAGGGCTAAATAAACCTCTTTTAATTTTAGGTGGGGATACATGTTCATTTTTCACACTTTTCCTTTACTGAATTCTCCCTGTGAGTTTTCTGTAAATACATGAACTTTTATTCTCCCTGCCACTGTGATAGCTAGTAGCCTTCTGTATAGGACCAGAGTGCCCCTCTTTTTTTATATAAATAAGTTTTCAGTAAAATAGAAGTTTGTTAAATTAAGTCAAGTCTGTATTCTTTCCTTGGCCTTGCTCATAATAACCATCTTGAATTTGGAGGAAGCTAAGGTGGAGATTATTTGTACATTAGTAATGTTCACTTCATGTTTTGATTATAACTGTAATTGTAGTGTTTTATTCACATTGTATATAGATTTTATATAATTTTAACCTTTTCATATTATAAACTGCCCATAATTTTAAGATGGGCAGCCAATAAATTAAATCAATAAATAGGGGACTCAAAGTAACATTCTTCCATTTTAAAATGAGAGTAATATGGAAACATGAATGTCAGAGAAAAGGAGAAGTCCATAAGCCAGCTTTTTGTGTGGTTATTTTTATGGGTAAAAATAGATGAAGTATTTTTGCAATCTGAAGTGGTCCAGCTCAGATTCAACTTAATAAAATGGGAACCAAGCTGGAATAAAAGATGACTGCTGTGATGGGCTAAAGATGGGACACTTTAAGTTAAAATTGTTTAAGTCCTATTTGATTGAATAAACAACAATAATAATAAAGTTGGAAGGGACCTTGGAGGTCATCTAGTCCAGTGGTTCTTAACCTGGGCGATATTGCCCCCCAGGAGGCGATTTCATTTTTCAGGGGGGCGATGGAATGAAAAGGGGCGACGCGGGGGTGAAGGGACGAAAAGGGGGCGATGGAGCGAGAAGTTTTGGGGACACTTTTGAGCCTTCCCCTGCAGCTCTGAGTCTCTTTCGCCATTTGCAGAGAGACAGAGACAGAGAGAGGCACATCTCTCTCTCTCTCTCTCTCTCTCTCTCTCTCTCTCTCTCTCTCTGTCTCTCACGCGGATGTGCCCCTCGCAGGGCTCCTGATTGGCCCTGTGCCTGGGTGCCCTGCCCCCTGGGAGAAGCGCGGCCAGGAAGTCCCTTTCCCTGGCTGGCCCCGTCCGAGGTGCACATGGCTGGGGAACCGTGCGGGGAAGCCCTGGGATCCCTGCTGGGAGCAGCCTGCCAGAGCCTCAGCTGAGCGGGCCAGCCTTCCCGCAAGCTGCGGCCCCGAAGGAGAGCAGCCCCTGCGATCCCCAGCCATGGGATCGTTGGCCCAGCTGGCTGGGAAGGCACACCAGAGTCCCGGCTGCTTTGTCAGCAAAGAATGTGAGGTGAGCAGAAGATGGGGGGGGGGAGAGAAAGGGAGGGGGAGGCATTTTCCAACCAGCAGCAGAAGAGCCCTGGCCGGACCCGCGGGAGCGCCGCCTCCTGGGGCCCGGCACCGACTTCCTTGCCCTCCTCCTCCTCCCCTTCTTCCTCCTGCTGCCCTCCCAGATGGCAGTCTGGGCTGGGGTGGTGGCTGGTGGGGGCATCGCTCCCTGGGCAATGCTGGTGGGTCGCGGATCGCCAGGTGTGCCGCGCAGTGCGGAGTGGCCCCAACTCCTCTAGCACGATGGAACTACCGGCAGCATGGGAGGCTCCAGCATTGGTCCTGGCGGTAGGTGGATTATTGCTCTAGTTCCGACCGAGGATGCCGGTGGCATGGGAGAAGGTTTGGCGACGCAGTTGATGGGGGGCGTTCCGCGGATGCCCGGCAACTTAAGCTCGGGGACACCAGCGGCGGGAGGGGAGGCTTGGCGATGCAGCCGACGGGCGGGGCATTCCACAGATGCCCCGTGGCTCTGAATTGAGCCCGGAGATGCCAGTGGCATATGGAACGGCCTGCCAACATGAGAGATCTTTATTTTTGCGCAAAAAGGTTCAGAAGTGATTTAACAATCAGCAAATTTCTGAACAAAGGGGAGGGTCTGAATTAAAGCTTTATAGGTTTCTTTCTCTCAGGAACAAAGGAAGCATAGATGGAATCTTACATTGTATATGGAATCTACTTTTGTGTAACATTCAGATAGTTTCTCACACGTTAGCTCCATTTCTCATGGGAATACAATGAAGGCAGTTTTTACTTTTATACAATGTTTCTAAATATGCATTAGGTCATTCATGTACTGTTAATACAGCTTTTGGCCAACACAGCTTTCTTTCAGAGATTATGCAGACACATGATTTTTGCTTTTAGTGATTTTTCATTATTATTATTATTATTATTATTATTATTATTATTATTATTACTTTATTCTTCTTTATTCTATGTTATTCTATTTCTTTCCCACTTTACTCCCCCCTTTTGGAAGTTTTCCAGCTTAAACTTCCATTATTCTACCTCTGATTCCGGATCTCCTGAAGGTACCATTTTATATTCCCATAAGGCTAACATTGTCTCATGTTTCGCTGTTAATTGGGCTGTACTTTCTGAGATTCTCCGAATCATGGCTATAAGGCAGGGGATCAAGCAAGGAATTAAAATACATCCCAGAATTAACAAAACTTTCAGGCCTACAAACCTTCATAGTCATAGCAGCCTTGTTAATTCCAGGATCCATAGCAGTGGTCTCATTGGTTCCAGACCACCATTTACCATCTTCCCATATCCCTGTGCATAGGAGGTCACTTACTGCTACACAAGATTCTGTTTTGTTTCTTGAGTAACATACGTGTCCTACCAAATTGGAAGTGAGACCCCAATCACCATCTTTCCCACTTGTATAGGTTAAATTATTATTTTTAGACATTTCCAGTACCTTGGTATAATTTAACTCTTGTGCCTCCCATGGTTAGACACGCCTAAAGTATGGGCAATGTCTTCTGCTAACTTAACAAAGGTATTGGTTACATGTCTAGATACTTCAGGAATATGTAGGTTCTCCATTTCCTCATAATATGACCAAAATAATGATTTTTGTTCTGGTCTTTTGGTTGCAGTTATAATTTTGACTTCTATTTCTGACATTGGGTCATAGCCATTTGTATCTATTCCTATCCCAAACATCCATTTCTTACCTTCCCACCTATTTTGTTCTAGGAACCAACTGCCATTCTTGACTGTGAGAGTCACCAAATTACAGTTATCCGTTCCACAGGAATCTGCTTTTGTTTCATTCTTTTCAAACAAGATGTGGTCTATCTCTTTTGGGTCTTGGGTATGCCACTTAATACATGACCACCACTTACATTTGACCGCACATCCATCTGGTGGGCACAAGTACTTATGTTTTGGGATAAAGTTGTGAATATTACCGATCCCTCCGCAACCATATGTTGGAGTCCAATAATTAGCTGCTTTGCAAACATCAAAGGTGACGCTAAAACTGGAGTGTGGATTGGATTTCCATTGGGAGATCCCTAAGAGTGCCTGGTCCTTATAGCTAGTTCTTGTTCTATGTGTTTTGATTTGTAAGGCCCAACAATCAGGATCAGACTTCGGGTTATAACACTGATATTGGACACCTTTTCTACAAACTTTATATGTAGTTCTATTGTATGTACAAGAGTCAGGAGAACTATCTTGGCACCCTTCTGGTTTAACTGTATGGTAAATCAAAGTCTTGGTTATCTGGTTTCCTTGTTTTGTAGTTTTGATACAGTTTTGACAACCTTGGTTTCCCTGTGTTTCTGCTCTTTCTTGGTGTGTGCTACTCAATAATTCTTTATTAGAGGGTTTTTTGCATTATGACCTCTTGTGTAGCCATTGTACTGATTTGTGTAGGAATGTGTGTGCATATTAAATAATTAACAAATATTATGAGCTGTAGAATCCTCATATCTTCCACCGTGCGTAGAGAGACAGCTTCCTGGGGTGTCTCAGCAAGGTTGTTGATCACACCATGTCTTGGGAACCCGTTGCTGTATTTCTTGTAAATTTCAACACCAAAGGCTTGTCAGTCTTGTCCACCTTGTAGGTCACCGGATCTGCAGGTGCAGCTGCTTTCACTCTACTCCAATGGATCCAAGATTTTCCTTCCAGGGTTTTCACTGCCAAAGGAGAACACATGACAACAGTATACGGTCCTTTCCATCTTGGGCTCAAGGGATCTGATTTCCAGTGCTTTACCCACACTCTATCTCCAGGCTTGACTAGGCAACTGTGCTGACTCAACAATAGAAGTTTGAGAAACTATTGCGTAACCAGAGTATCTACATCCTTTATCCATAAAGCTAGAACCATCAGTAAACCATTGATAGTCTGGATTATGCAAGGGTTGGTCTGTAAGGTCAGGTCTGCAAGAATATTGTAGTTCTATTGTTTGCATGCAGTCATGAACAGGTTTGGTTGAATTAGGAATTGGCATTAGAGTTGCTGGGTTTAAAGTTGAACATTGTTGCAGTGTAACTTGTGGATTTTCTAATAAAAGAGCCTGTATTTTATGCATTCGTTGATTACTTATCCATAAATGTCCTTTATTGTCAATGATTGTCTGCAAGGCATGACTAGTATAAACAGTCACTGGAGCTGAAAAGGTTAACTGTTTGCCTCCTGCAATAATAGCATAACTGCTGCTAGAATTTTTAAACACTGGGGCCAGCCTTGTGAAGAAATGTCCAGGTGTTTTGACAGATAAGCGACAGGGCGGTTCCAACTTCCCTGTTTTTGGGTAAGGACCCCTAGAGCTACATTTTGTCTTACATCCACATAAAGTGAAAAGGGCTTAGATATATCAGGTAGTCCTAGGGCGGGGCTGTGGTGAGAGCCTGTTGCAATTGTCTCATTGCTTGGGTTTGTTCCTCTTGCCACAAAAGAGATTCTTTTTCTGGTCCCCTTAA